GTTTTCCTGGGTGCTGTTTTCTAAACAGTGATGCAGACCAAAGACTTTCCAGCATTTGACCTCACCATCTCACATCTGCTACCTGGAGAAGGAGGGAGGGAATGATAAGGAGCCACCTTGCCTTGTCCAGGAATGCATTATTATCTCTTCATTCCTTTCCTCAGAACCAAACACATGGCCAAATTGATCACAAAAGTTGCTGGAAATCGTAGATACATAGACTTTAATAACTAGTATTGTTTCTGTCATCTTAGTCATAGTGACTAGCATGACTACAAGTCTAAAACCAACAATAATATTTATTGTAAAACCACAGGCAGAGGAAACATATCTTCATTATACTTAAGCTGTAAATATAACACTGAGGTTGCCAAAAATATCAGATTCCATAATATTTGGCTGAGTCTAGACTCTCTCATCCCCAAAATGCATCTTATTTTAGAACAAATAACCTGCCATAAATTATTATTTTATATATTTATATTTGATATTATAAATATCAAATATAAATATTATTATCTGCTTTTTACTAGTCACTTGATCATAAGACATTATTTCATGGCTCTGTGCCCAGTTTTCTACTCTGGAAAGGGTATGATAATAGTACCTGACTTACTGAGTTATTGTGAATATTAATTGAGTTATTATATCAATAGTTCCTTGTATTTTTTTAACTTTTAAAAAATATGCTTGATTTTTATTGGCAAATAAATGTGCATTATTTATGGATTGTGGTATTATATTTCAGTATATGCCTATATTGTGTCTTTATCTATTATATTATCACCCTTGGTCAATTGGTATATACATCCCCTGAGACATGATCATTTCTTTGTTTTGGGAACATCTGAAATTCTCTTTACTAGCTCTTTTTTATTTTTTTTAATTTTTTTTAGCTCTTTTGAAATATTCAATTGAATGATATCCATAGTTGACACCTACTGTGTTAGAGATCATTAGAAGTTACTCCTTCCACACAACTGTGCCCTTAAACTTGTTAACATTTGTTGGTGTCCTCTCCTGTCCTCCAGTAACCACTATTCTGCTTCCTACTTCTACAAGATAAAATTTGTTAGCTTCTATATATAAATAATAATATTTGGTATTTGATTTTCTGTGCCTGACTTATTTCACTTAAAGCTCTCCAGCTCCACCCATGTTGACATAAGTGACAGAATTTCATTCTTTTTATGGGTGAATAAAATTCCACTTATGTATATGCACAACACTTTTATCCATCCATGATCATGTGGGTTGGTTTTATATCTTGGCTACTGCCAATAATGCTGCTATTATTATTAATTTTAAATTGTCCTAATATGTCTGTTGCAGGTATGGGGAGTTGGAAAAAGGACCAGAATGTCATATGTGGGTGACAGTGGAATACAAGAATGGTATTACATTTCCAAGAATTAAAAATGAATCTCTTTTCAGGGAAAGTGAGTTCTTTATGAAGATCATTGTAGAAAAGCAACATTATTCCAAGAGAAGATATTTGTTTTATATCCATATATAGTACCAAGCAGTGCCAAGCAGAGCTATGAAAAAAGGGTAAGAGGGATCATGGAAACTTGCCTCTGGAGAGACATGCTGCTTAGAGGTAAATGTGAGCTAATCCTCTCCTCTTCCCAGATATCCTAAGAATGTGGTTAGTCTAGAAGTGTTTAGAAGCCCAAATCCTGGGGGGGGGGGGGTATAAGTATTCTGTGCAAGAATGCATAACCTTGCCACATTTTCCTTTTTTTAGGTCATCTACCCTCATAAACTCTTGGATGTGATATTTTGAGTAACTCAACCATCTTAATGCAGAGGGCAGCAGAAATGAAAGTTTCACGTAAAGTCTGACAGATAAACTGAATGTTCCCTCTCAGTTTTTAATCTGATGAGCACAGGAAATAGAAAAACTTCTACTACATATTCTTTCTAAATCCACTTGCACATGGTATGATTTTGGATAAGCTAGCTAAGTGTCAATCTCTTCAGTACAGAAGCATGAAGCACTTTTGTGAGAATTAGGTAAAAGTGTTCATTAAGTTCTCGGTACTATGACAAGTAACAGTAAGAGCTACATACACAAACTATTTCAGTCTTACCATTATATCCTGAACTCATGTAATGATTCAGGCTCTATATTTCAAACCATCTTAGAAAAGTACCTGTATGCCCCCCTTGTAGTTAGAGTTAAATGTTTATCTTAAGGGCAGCACTCATTCTTGTCCTATTACAATTAATTTTGCAAGTTTTGTTTCCTGTTCCCCATGCATCTACAATACTGATGTATTCAGCTGTTTCAAAGTGATAACATTTGATACTGATGAAAAGAGTCTGGGGTGGACTATCAGAGGAGACAAGGCCAGATAACACAGTAAGTAGAGTCAGTCAAAAGCCAGATAAAGGAAGGGAGAGCATCCCATGAGGGAATAATCATGAGATAAACAGAGAGCAAGGAAAACAGGAGAATGGTAAATATTACACAGATGTGAGGAGACATGAGTAATTTTTATAAAGTGTATGAGTAACAGAGCCAGAAAGACAGAAGGATCTGGCATTTGAAATGTGGATATGGAGTAGTGTGGCTGAGAGCAATGTCTCAGGAATGGACTTGAGGGGGGTCAAAATGAGTAGAACTGGAAATTAACACAAAACTGGAAAATTTTCGCCCTCCAATACAACACCTTTGTAATGAGTATTATTTAATTAAATAAAAATGAATTATTAATAAACCCAACAGCTCTGCTAAATTCTAAAGACATTATGATGAATGGAAGAAATCAATCACAAAGTGTTATATACTGTACGAATACAATGGTATGATATTCTTGAAATGACAAAACGTATTGTGATAAAAAGCAAGTGAGTGACTACTAGGGGTAGAGGGTTGTATGTGACTACACAGGGTGGCCTGAGGGCATGAGGGGACTGTTCTGAATCAATTTTACAGTAAGCTAACTAAGAGAGAAAGAACACACCAGGTCCAGTAATAACACCCTCCTTTTACAGATGAGACACTGAAGGTGGAAGCCTGCAGGACGTCACAGGTTCAGAAAAGTGAGAATAGCGGTATGATGTGATGAACCCTCAGAGGATAGATTATTGGAAGAACATTCTTTTTACTTAAAATCTTCAATAAGTGTCTACTGATGCCTGGTTCAGTGGGTAGATGTTGATTTATTAACTGAAAAGTTTTCAAAGTATGAAATTATTAAAAGGAATACATAGGTTATAAGTTTTATTTAGAATAAAATCCATAAAAGTACATTTATTAACAAAAAGTAATTTTCAATAGTCACCCTAGGTCTTTCTTCTTGATTATGATGATGGATATGGGTTGCTCAAAGATCAGTAGGTATATAATCACACTATGGTGTTCCTTGTTACCACGTAAATAAATGTGTGTTGTCAACTAGATCTCATCGTTTCTTACATACATTTAGATACTTCTGTTCTTAGGATTCTGAAACACACCCATTTTTAGCACATTTCTAAATTTGCACCAGATAGTTATTGTTGTAGGCTGTCTTTCTACAAACATCATACAAATAACTTTGAAATCCCTTTTTCTAGTGAATATCATGCATTTCTAACATTTATAAAAATACTTCATTTGCTGAGAATTTTTATACTGCTAAACTTTATTATTCTTCCCAATGTATCTGTAGTGCTCAATAGGGATACAGGTTCCTTATTTGTAGTTTATATTTTAGAATGATATAAATTTCATACCAAATGCCAAAGGTGAGAAATAGCAAAATGACAATGAATAAAACTGCTAGGTTTAATTTTGCAAGAGCTCTCAATAATTATCTGCACAATGACTGAATCTGAAAGAAACAGGAGTGGACAGTTTTTAGTTTTGAGACTTAATTTTTAGTATTGAAATAGCACACTTAATTTGGAAGAATACTCCACGTTTAGCTTTCAGTGTGTGATAAGACTTATCTTTTCATATATCTCAATATTATTGGAGTTCTCATTTCCCATATAGGACATTAGTATAAAAAGTTTCTTAGATAAAAGAGAGAATTTAGAATGAGGTGATTATTTTATAGATTCTGTACATGAGCTTCTAATCAGAAAATATAATTTTAGGAAGAAGGTTTAATAGGAGAGCCCGTTTAAAAAGAAGAAACAGCAGTCTTCAAAGAAAACAGTTTTAAATTACATGCCAATAAGGAAACTAGGTCCAAACACTAGAACACCATTAATAGCAATGAAAAATTTATCACTAGCTATAACATAAACAGGAAATAGTAAACAGTGGTTCAGCTAAAATAACAGCATTAAAGACCCGCACTTGGAAGAAAATTGAAGGATCACAATATACTATTAGTAAAAAATATCTCTTATCGTGTATATCATATTATTACTTTGGCTAGGTTTCTGTGTTGATTAGCTAAAAATTTAATGACTTTTTAAAATTCTGAGTTTGTTCATGTGAGAAATAAATGAGAGAAAATGGAAATAGGAGGTGAAATCTAAGTATAATCAGTCATTTCAGGAGGAAAACATTAGGAAGATGTTGAGCAGCCAGAAGGAAGTAGAACCAAGGGTCTAGGGAGTCTGGTTTCCATGGACAGATGAGAAATTTGTTTGCTGTTATTGATATGTTAGTCTCTATCAGTTTCCTTTTAATAATAAACCTGCAGATATATCAAGGGAAACTAAAATTTTAGATGTAAGCTTTTTAGAATTCTAGATATTTTTTGTTTTCCTTCACATAAATCTAATTTTTTTAAACCTTTATCATTTCTTCATGGAGACTGCATTTTAAAATGTCCTTTGTAATTACTATGGCAATATCATTGTCTATATACAGATTCAAAATGGAGAGGGAAAGATGATAACATATTCTAACTCATCTTCATATGACAAAAAATATACCTAAAGCATTATTGAAGTTTCATTTAACTCTGAATAAAAAATTATTAGTAAAACAAGATTTCTGTCCAGTAATGGGAAAGGTATATAAATTATGAAGCTCTCTAGATGTAACAAATGGGTCAAGCCCTGTTGTGTACAGAAAAGAGGTGAATGATGCTTCTTTGAATCTGCTTAGTCTTGATGCTGTATATAATGGGGTTCATGAATGGAGGGAAGAGAAAATAGACATAGCTCATGGTGACATGAACCACATGTGGGGCATGTTTCCCAAACCTATGGATGAAAGTCAGGCCGATCACAGTGATGTAGAACACCAGGACACAGCTAATATGGGAGACACAAGTGTTGAGGGCCTTAGCTCGCTCCTCTCCAGAGGCGATGCCCATCACTGTCTTGAGAATTAGGCCATAAGAAAAGACAATGATTAGAGCATCCAGAAAGAAAGTCAAAGCCACCAGGATAACTGGATATAAGCGATTAAAAGTAATATCAGCACAGGCAAGTTTCATGACATCTTGGTGGAGGCAGAAGGCATGGGAAAGAACATGGGAATGACAATATGGGAACCAGTAGAGTGAAAGAATTGGAGGCACAATGGATACAAAGCCCCTCAACAGTACCCCCAGTCCTATCTTCAACACCCTGGAATTGGTAAGAATGGAGGTGTACCTCAGAGGGGAACGGATGGCAGCAAAACGGTCATAGGCCATGGCAAGCAAGACACCTGATTCGACGATGGCTAATGAGTGAATGAAATAGGACTGGGTGAAACAGGCACCCTGGGCAATCTCCCTTCGGTCAAACAACAGGACACCCAGGACTGTGGGCATTGTAGTTAGTGTCATCCCGAGATCTGAACCTGCCAGCACAGCCAGGAAGTAGTACATGGGCTCATGAAGGCTGTGGTCATTCCAAATGAGGAGCAGAAGTGTACCATTGCCTGAAAGGATGGAGATGTAGATGGCAAAGAAAGGGATAGAAATCCAGTGGTGAATTTCCTCTGAGCCCAGAAAGCCTGTCAGCAAGAAGAGAGCAGCACTGCTGTTGGACCACATAGTAGGTTTTGCAGATGAGCCAGAGATGATGTCTCAGTGGTTAGGACATCTAAAGAAGCAGCATTTTTTTCCTCATCATCTTCTTGTTTCACATCATCCAACCATTTTTCACCTCAAAATTTAAAAGTCTGTTTATTGTCTCAGACTTAATGAATTGTAAGCTTGTATTCACCAGGCCTTTGCCTAAAATAACAAATAATCACAATAATCATAACAATCACAATTTACTGTGAAGGATGCAACTTTTTCCAGTCACACATATTATTATGTGTTTTTAGCCTTGCTGTCTAGTCACAAATTGCTCACCTTTGGGCCTCTTTCATTCTCACCACATTTTTACTTCCCCTCATGTTATGGCCTTACCTATATTTCTATCCAATTTGGGTAGTTCAGGGTTTTTTTTTCTCTTGGAACCAAAGAACTATCTCAAAAATTAATGACTAACAAAAAATGCTTAATCAATACAAATGAGGAGACCATCATGAAATGTTTGAGAAATGTTGTTACCAACATTGCTGCCTCACATATATTGTGAGTTAGGAGAGAACTCATATGAGTATCTGAGACATCTGAACCAGTGAACAGAGCCAGTAAGCTCTCATTTCAGAAAGCTGTGATTGCTCAGGGGACTTGAGACTAAGCTAATTTTCAGTGCTCCAAATGTTCTGAGCCTTCCAGTCTTAGAGACATAGTTTAAAACAGGAAAAGATATATGCTTTGAGAGGCCTGAAAGGAAATTTAAGGACAGACTCCTACACTGAATGTCTCCAGAGAAGCCTAATACTGATACAGAGCCACAGAAAAAGAAAAAAAAAAACATATTTATCTGAAGGAAAATTGTAACATCAGAAATTCATAATTGAGTGTATAAAGTCTACTTAGGAATTACAGGGGGACACTAAGGACTTCCAGAGTGGAAGAAATAATGACTTTACTGCTGATGGAGATAGCCAGATAGACCCTCTAATCATTAATACTCTATAAAGCCCCATCCAGAAAATTAAAAAGGGACTTCACAGGGGTGTTTGAAATGTGACTGATGTCTAAGCACATCCTGAAGAAATCAAGTTAACTTTTTGCATGCAACCAAGAAATTTTGGGGCAGGTTTGTTACAACAATAATTGAAGACAACAACAAGGAAAACATTAGTTTCTCCAGGGAAACTTTGATTTCTCCCAAATTCAATTGAATCCATGAATGTCTAAAATACTTTTAAATTTTTTATTATAAATCACTCTACTGACACCCCTAAAGAGGGTTTCAGGAAAAGTGGTGTGGTAGCAATCTTTGTACCCCTTCTGTTTCATAAAATTATGAAAAGAATAACAAATCCATGTTAGAGAATTTTGTCATATAGTAATACCTGTAAGGATAACCCATAGGTGATGGAGAAACACAGATAGAAGGAAAGTTAATGAACTATGGTAAAGACCACCACTTCAGGAGACGCTGTCACTGTCAAAAAGTCAGTTCAAGCGTACTAATAGGAGATACTCTTGTTTATGTGGGTACTGAAAATTGCCTGATAAATTGATCCACTGAATTATAACATATAAATTACAACTTTGTCACCTCAGCAATACTCAACTATTGCTACAAAGGAGTGATTTGTATGAAATCATAAACCATAATTTCTGGTTACACTTCCCTTAAACTTTCAGCATCACCTTATTAATGATATATTGAGGAGAGAGAGAGTATATATGCCACAATTTGTTACATGATATGGGCAAACCACTTTGTTTGTACCTGTTGAAGTTTTTGCCCGAAGGAAGCAGGAGAACATATGAGAGTACTTAAACTATAATGCTGTTTTCAAAGCCTGAGATAAGAATTTTGGACAGATCAGGGCTTAAGTACTAAAAGAATTTCTTGATATTTTTTAACTGTCATACTTAGAAAAGCACCATACTTAATATTTTCAGTCCCTAGGAATAGATTATGTCATTTAATTGCAGCAAGCCAGAAACATCTAAATACTCAAGTGTGAAGGAAGAATAGCTGCCCAGTTATGGAACATGTGGTATACAACATTAAGAACAGACAAAATTGCAGTGGAATTTTGTATCACACTGAGGCAAGCCTAGAGGTTTCATAAAGGATGCAGACATGATTGGAAATCATTATTTCTCTACCCCATTATAGGGATCTTGTTTGGGTTGATTTTATGAAAGTAGCTAGGTCTGAGTCAGTTTTTGAGAATAACACAGATTCATAATTCAGAGTTTCTTCAACTTCCTTTCTTGACTAGAGATTATGAAAGTGTTATAAAAACATATGAAATTGAAGTCAAGGGCCAGGGATTTAGCTCAGTGATGCCATCTACTGGCTCACAAGCTCAAGGTCCTGAGTTCAATCCCTGGTACCAAAAAAAAGAAAGAAAAAGAAATTGAAGTCAGGAGGCAAAACCAGCACATTATCAGACTAAGAAAATGAGGAAAAGTCTTATACTGAGTTCCAGATAGACTGCAGTACACTCTTCCATCAGATTTTCATGACACCACTCCTTTCACCTTAGCCTATTCCTAAGTTTGTGTGATTCCCATTCATATATGTATAAGGAGAAATCATAGGCTGCAATTTGAGACATCTCAGTTGTTCGGGACTGTTCAAATCTTACCGTAGGTAATAATTAAGATAGGAGACAAGATCTGGAGAGAAAAGTTTGGAAGCTAGGAAAATTTCCCTTTATGATAGAAAAAAGTATCTCAAAGGATGAATAAACAAATAGGCAAAAATATATGGGTAGAGCACAGGGGTCTGTATTTACAAAAGCTTGTGCACAAGAAAGCTTTTAGAAGTTGGTAGTAATGTAGTTTAATAGTGAAAAATATTACAATTCTCCAATAAGACAAAAGTGGAAAATATCCATTGTCTTTGGCAACTAGGTCTTTGGTGAACTTGACATTTTCAGTTGAATGCTACAAACAGCTGCTTAATGTTTATGAAATGAAAAATGAATGAATATGAGAAGGTAAGGACAATATAGTATCCACATTCTCCAGGTTACAAAGCAGAGACTTAGATATACTGAACTAAATAAATTGCCTGTGGTTGAACAAATAAAACATCGCACATAGGTATGCAAACTGAGTTTACTCTGACACAAACCTTCAGGTTATATTCTTAACCAACACTCAGTAGACACAAAAGCTGGTCTTTTGTCTCAACTTTTGTCTCAAAAGTTTGCCTTTTTCCTATGGTACCCCCTTTCTTGAATTCTTTATTCAACTAAAATATATGTCTTACAGTCTCAGTCTTTACTCAAGAATTGACTGAAAGCCAGACAAAGTACTACTTTTAAATATCCTTGCTGTGTCAAATCCCTGGTTTTCCTTACCTGGTCCAATTTTCTCTTTGTTTTGAGCACAACTTGGGATTGGTTTCTTGCTATATTTTCACTGTATAGTCAGAATCCTGAAGAAAGGTGTATTTATTAAAGAAATAACTCCCAAAGGGTCATTCTAGATAGTTTCCACACAGGCTATTTGAAAGTACCAAAATAATCCTCATCTCCTTCCTCAGCTGGGAAAGTCTGGGCCAATTAATTTGGTATCCACGATCTCCACTTTTTTCTGGGTAAAGAACATGTGTCTTTAACATCAGATGAGGCATGACCTGAATTTTTTTTCAGTTGTCTGTGGGCAATAAGGTGGGAATATTAGGCACTTTTTCTTCCTGAATATTGACCATTGAAGAAAAATATTTTACTTCCCACTTTTCCAAACTGTTTACATATGATATTTTCAAAGACAGTAGTTTTAGGAATAGTCATGCACCAAATCCTTGAGCTACTACCTAACAATTTCTTGTTGATGGTTGCTTATAAGATATTTGTTTTTCCTTTCCTCTTACTCCATGAACTATGTGTCTGAAATCTATATATGTAAC